AAGTGTGTGTTTATCCAAAATTTGCAGCTAATTGGATGATGGGATTGCTGACTTCATGCACACAGTTGTGCGTTGAATACTTAATAATCTGTTTAAAGCACATCCCATTCTGCCTGCTGATATTTATATAAGCAGGAAATAGGGATTATTTTTCAGAAGAGTTGATCAATCACTGTAACTAATATTTTAAATGACCCTTCTTGGCAGACAAGTCACCATGTTCTTGCTTCGGCAGCTTGAGTGGTATGAAAGAAGTTACATTATTCATGTGTGGCAATGCAGTCAGCTGTAGCCATTTGTATACAGAATGATTAGCCACTATTGGAGGACACAACTTAAATGTTTTCAGGCAAAGTTTTTGTAAGTCTCCTGACTTTAATTTTTAGCTGTATCCCTTGCCAACATTCCTAATTGCAATTAGACTGGGCAGTTAGCCATTAGCTGTTGCTTACTGTCTTTCTGCCCTTGCTGGTCTGGTAGCCTGGCAGTCCTTATTTTTCTCCTCACACACGTGTGACCATCCTTAGGTACATTTATGTCTGGGAGCAGGCTAGGAACAGGCAGTATGGTATTCCTTATTTCCCTCTGTTGTCACAGTGTCGGGATAAATGACGTGTGTGTGTACCTGATCTGTGAATAAACCATTTCCTCTACGAAAGAAGTTCTGAAAATGCAGCTCCTCCTTCCTTCCTTCCTTCCTTCCTTCCTTGCCCTCCCTGTCACACCTCTCAGCAGCTTTCAGGCAGCTCCACAGACATGTTCCAGCAAATGTCAGGGCTCTCCAGGAAGGACTATAAATCGTGGATATAATCCCTGCAGTAGATTAGTGCTCAGGTTAGCCCAGTGATTTTGCAATATTATGGTTACAAGGGATTTAAGGGCATTATCTTTCCTCTGCAAACACTGCATGAAAGTTATTCAGGAATTCTTCCCATATAGCCCTGGCAACTAAAGACAGATTGCAGAATATGGTTTTGAGAGCAAAAAGTCAAGGTTTCTGCTTCCTGACTTTTTTCCCTAAATACAGTTTATGTATGGGTCAAATTAAAAAAAAAAAAAAGTTTAAAATACATTTTTAAACTGACTTTAAGTTATATGAAATGCTTTTTCTATGCATAAGCCTATTACATTTTGAAGTGTAGTATGTAAAGATCTGGAAGTAGAGGAAGATGCCCACACCAGTGCCATCAGAAATCTGGGGTTTTACCCATCCATGCCCCTCTCTTGAGCATTCCACTGCCAGCCACGTGGTAGAGGATCATGTTGGATCTGATAGGGAGAAATGGTGTGTGTCTTCTGAGTTTGGCCAGGAGAATTTGGGAGGGAAATGCCAGATCAGCAGAGAAAGAAGAAACATTTACTTTTGTAAACGATCTTACAAGAAGATAACAATTTCTTTGAAGCTACTTAAAAATTCTTGTGTTGGGATTCTGGTAGAGTAAGTCAAGACAGGATGGATTTGCAAAAGGAACAGCTGATGGGCAGTAAAAGATGCATGATTAACCATTTTGTTGGGCTCAGTTTATTTCCTCAAGTGCTGTGTATATATTCTGTTTTGGAAATCTAAAGTGTGTATATATATATGTATATATATGTATATGTTGGTCATTCTGAGTAGCTGCTTTCTATTATTTACAGTGATGTGTAATGATACACAGACTCTGACAAATAATAGCAGTGTCGTAGGATCTATTTTTAGGCTCACATATTTGTTATTATGACTTAATGTGCCAAAACTTAGCCAAGTTATGAGCAAGAATATCTTACAGGCAGCCAATGCTAATGACCTTGTGCATAGCCTGGTACCAAAGAAGGATCATCTGTACCAGGACAGGGCGTTCTGCTGGGTTTTTTCCCTCTGTCCACTTGGTTTCCTCTGTTCTAGACAGACAGGATGAGTTGGTGAGGTAGAGCACACAGTTGCTGGGCTGGAACAAACTGTTTATTTTCCATTGTTTGTAATCATGTGTGCTTTATTATGCTGCTTTTTTTTTTTCCTTTTCCTTTTCATTTTATTTAATTTTTTTTTTGTTTAAACCGGGATTTTCCATTGCTACTTCAGTGAGGATCAGTGTTGTTCACTATCCCTTTGCTCAAAATAGGTATCCCTTGCCTGTGTGAAGTCCCACTGACTGACCGGATAACTGCACTTCAGTCCTTCCTCTCCTCATGCAGGACTGGAACAAAATGGAAAACCCACTCATCCACTTCTGAGCCCCCCCAGGCACTGCCAAAAGGGTTATTGGAACTCATTAACCCTGAAGAATGGAGTAACTTCTGAAAAGCAGCAGGCAGAGCTGAAACAAATGCTGTGCTCAGAGTCAATTCACAGCAATGACATTGTGCTTAAGCCAGAGTGTCCCCCATGTGGAAGACACCCAGGTGCCTGATGTTTTCTGAGCTGTTCCTGTTTGTGTAGTGGTGAACATCACTTTGCAGTAGGGTTCCACCTCCTTTGCCTCTTCACTGATTCTGGCAGCAGGGTTTGCATCCTACCCCACATTTCCTTATGTTAAATCCATCTTTCAGCGTCTCGAGACAAGGATGTATTTTCCTGCCTCTGGCAAGCCGCTGGCTGTATCCTTCTCCTGTTACTGAGGCTCCCTCCCCCCTCTGCCCCTCTTGTTAGAGGTCAATCTGAAGTGCAGGAAAGAATGATTATGATAACAGGAGGAAACAGGAAGAATCATGCTTTATTTTTCAATCTGTTTTTTATTATTGTTTTAATGTAAAACATTGTTTCAATTAAATGCTGACCTGTGCAGTGGCGTGTGCGTGCACATGCTGAAATGAATTCTGGCTTTGTTTGGAAAGCTGTGACCTCTTTATTCCTGTTCTGGATCAAGGCTGTTGTCTTTCAAACCCACTGCTGAGGACTGCAATTTCACTTGTACTCCTCGTAGAACTGGCTGTAACAAAACTTAAGAGCAGTGGTATTCTTGGGCATTTTGTTGGTGTTCTCTCTCAATTTTTAAAAATAACGTGCTTAGTTTTAAGACATCCTCATGTTATGGAAAAAAGAAAATAACATTTAAAATGAGTGCTGAGCTACACTGGCACATGGAGTAGATAGGTATTCAAATAAGTCAATATCTTTATCATTTACTTTCTTTCTCTATGCCTTAATTTTGTGTGATGCTATTTACTTGCACTTTTTTAAACTGAGATAACCATGTGAATTGACTGCCCTGAAAGAAATCATAAGACTGGACCCCAATGCCCATTCCCACCCCACAAAGTCTTAGCTGCAATGACACTGGAATAATATGTTCAGTTTGTTATTTATTTGGATAAAAATTTTAAACCTGGAGGGGGTGAATCTATGTTGTATCATTTAAGTTGTTTGGTGGTTTTTGTTTTTTGTTTTTGTTTTTCTTAAAATGAACTTCTTCAGAGGAAGGAAGAAGTGAGTGAGAAATTTGAGTTGTTAAAATGAGTCAGTTATACTTTATACTTGTCCTCTGGTGACCAGATTTTCATTTTACTCCTTGGCCTCATGGAATGTTTTTATTTATGTGTCTTATTAGTTTTGGATGTTCTGTGTAAGGGGAAACCTGAAATACAAACTTTTTTTTCTTTCTGGTATTGTATTAAGAGCCTGGGTATTGGATGCAGGTGCTCTGACTCTGCCGTAATTGGCACTTTATGGAGAGACACCAGCTGTACTGCTTCACAGGGGACATATTATGTCTCTTCACACATTGTATATATTGCAGGAAATGCAGAATTCCTGTCATTGTCAGAAACTTTGCATGTCTGCATCTACCAGTGCCTCTGCAGAAAAAAAGACAACAATCTGCTGAAAGTTAAAACCACATCTATTTTCAGAAATAGCTTATCCCTTTTATTGTCCTTTCCTGTAGCACTAATTGATGTTTTGTTTGGTTAAATATAGAAGAGACTTAACAAATGTTTGTCTTTTTATGGTCATGCAAGGTGAGCTGGTGTGGTATGAAGTGCTTCATTTGTTTTGAAATACATGGTGACAGATACTGCATATCTGGATGTGTGGGTACCTGCACCTAAAATTATACTTACCATGTAATAATATACAAAAAAAAAAAATTAATGTTTTCAGTCATAGGACAGGTTTGGAAGCAGAAGCAATAAAACTCTAAGTTATATTAGGCCTTAAAAGGGATAATTATACAGGGGAAACGATCCTGCTTTTGGGCATCTTACACAACAGGGGCTTCAGTTGCTCTCTTGGGAGTGTCTGGGAACTGCCAATGGTACCTCTCAGTCCTGCCCGAGGACTATTGATTTGTGAGTAGGTGGGACTTGTGTGCCTTTTGGGGGATTGATTTATAGGAGGAAACTAGGAATTAGTATCAAGATTTATAGATACTGTATGTGAGTGATTTGTCCAGAAAAAAAAAAAAAAGAGTGGGTAAAACCTCTGCCTGCATTTGAAAAGTGTAATTGCTGAAGGGGAACAAAGAACTATTGAGTGTCATAGGGAATGTTTGTTCCATATAAAGAAAAATGCAGGTGTCTGGCATCTTACTACATGGAAAAATAGGGTTCCGATGGAAGTTAAAGCAATCTCATCAGTTTTTTTTAAAAGCTTTTGAAGATACTGTCCTGATAATAGAGACGTGGGCAAGGCTGTGGATTTCTTGTGAGCTGATTTAACATGTCCTTGAATGTTCATTGTCCCACTTCCTCTATGGTTTAGTAATGTGTTCAGATCGCTGTATGGACTTTCGGAGAGTTTGCCCTGAAAGTTTCATTTCTGGGAAAACGGGAACAAGGCTGTTTCATTCTGTCTTTTGGAACAGATGTAACTTATAGTCTATCTGTGGTTGTTAAATCCCCTTTTTTGTGCTCTCTTATCAGAAGTGTCTTGTATGTTCTATGACATAGTTCAGACCCAGCACTGAGACACTCTTTTGAATGCCATTTCCTTTCCAGTGCTGCAGTATGTTTGTGTGTGGTACACTGTGCTTATGAGAACCAGGAGGAAGCCCACCTATTTCCATGTTTTTTTGTTTCACTAGGTTTGTATGCGCTGCGGAGAGTGCTGGGGAAGAGGCCAGGCCTGTGGGACACCGCAGTGGCTGGGTCAGTGATGATTGCTTTCAATGACTTCCTGCAGGGGATGAATGATGTCAGGCCCAGTGCCATGAGGGAGGTGGCAATTGATGTGCCAAAAGTAAGTGGTTTTGTGCAACGCTGTGGCAACATTGTCAGGGCCACATAAAGAGAGAGATTTTATGGAGTGTAAGCCTCAAGTTACTGATAAATGTTACGCATCATCTTTCTGTTTGCATGCTTATTTATTTATTTATCATTTTGAAGAACCATTTGCAGAATGGTTCCTAATACTTCAGGAAGAGTTTGGAGTGCAGGATCGTATCTCCTGATCTGTGTTTTTTTATGCTGAGTAGATTAATGGGGTAAAAATCTTCAGATGCATGTTCAAGGAAGGTCTGAAACAACCATGGAAGCTGGAGCCTTTTGGGAAGCAGACACAAACTAAAGCAGAAACCAACTGTTAGTGTAAACAGTTGTGTGTGTAAACCAAAGTGTGTGTAAACAAAGCTGTGAGCAGTTTGATTGCTCTGATTTTTATGTAAATGTGGCCTGAATGCCACATGAAGGCAGAATTCAATGCTGTAGGCTGATTATGACTGCCAAACAGTCACCTGTCAGGTGACTGTCATTATATGAACAGTTCATTTGGTGGTGGCAGGTTCATCTTTACCATGCTCACTGCCCTCTTAATTACATATTATAGTAGTTCAGTAGCAGACCCCACATAAATTGGTGTGGGGAACTTACCTGGTTTAAAGCAGCTCTGATCTATGTTAAGAAGACTGAGCAAAATAGTTTTGTATTTAATGTGACTAAATCCTGATTCTGTGAGCAGTTGTGCTGGGGTTCCTCAGAAGCTCCCCAAGCCCTAGAAGAAAACATTTATGTTTCATTGCATGGCAATGAGTCATTGGGAATTAGATTGCACCATGGTAAACCCTCATTCTCAAACTTATAGGAATGGGAAATAAAATCTGTGAACCGGATGCTGCACGCAGGCAGCTCGGATGTCACACTTGGCTTGCTAAGAGAGTCCATGCTGTGCAGGGTAGAAATGCCTGGGCTGGCCCCATACAGCTTTTCCTGGAAATGGTGTCATGTCACCAATATCCTCAAGGTTAAGTGGCTCTGCTGAGAGCCAGAGTTACTGATTCTTGCCTTGCTCATTGTGCTGCAGGCTCGTGGGCTCAGGTTATTCCTTTGCAGTGCCTCTCAGGCACTACAGCCCCTTTGGAGCCAGGTAGAATGCTGCCCAGCAGCACAACAGGCAGGTAGAAGCAAGGTCTTGAGGTACTGCAGGAAATCTGTTCTCAGTCCCGGTCAATCTACTCCTCAGGCTCCTCTTGTCCACTAAACCATACTGCTAGTGGCTCCCTTAATTGTCACTTGATTTTATTTGTTAAACACCCATCGAATTATTGGAGTACTACTGGAATTAATTTCTTTTATTAACAACATAGTGGAGATTACTTTTGTGCTGACAGGACCTGCATTTCCACAAAGTAATGCGTCTTCTCTGAAGATGTAGGGTAAATTTCAAGCCATCTGCTTGCTGCCTGGGGTGAGTTTAAAGTAGATTCTAAAGTAATCTGGGTGCAACAGATTTTGTGTCCTTCCATATCACCTACCAGAGGAAGGGAGTTTGGAGCTAGATGATCTTTAGGGTCCATTCCATCTCAAAATATTCTGTGAATGCTGTAATCTAAAAAATCCTTGCTTAAAATAACTTCAAAGACTAAATAAATTATAAGATGTAAGATTTTTTTTACCAAAGAGAAGACAGGAATTTGAACTACATTAATAATATCAGCTTTTTAGGTATTTATTGCAGATGCAGTACTCACTTGGCATTCTCCTTGGTGTGGATGGGACTTTTGGCCCATGTAGTTAGTTACAAGTAAAACCACTGACATACATGGAATTATTTTTTTTTAACTTCATTTTTCAGATGATGGGGCCCTTTCATATTTCATTGCTTTGTAGCAGCCATGTACCAATCAAATGACAGGAGTTCAAAGTAACTTCTGAATAAAGCCACGATTCCTTCCTTTTGTGTCTGAGTTGTGTTGGCTGTGACCAAGGCAAATGTAAGATCCTTGCTGCCTATTTCTGTGTAGCATATTGCCTTCCATTTTTACAGAGCCTTTCTTGAACTTTGCTACGTGTTACAACCTTTTTAGAAGGCTGCTTTTTCTGCAGCAGGGATTTAGGGGAGAGAGGATGCACATTATAAATCAGGAAGTTAATACTGCAGTTCTTTGGAGAATTGCACTGCAGTTGCCATTCTTCCCTCTCCTATGGGTCTTTATGAAATTTTTTTCAGAGAGTGCTCTGGGTTTTACTTGCCTCCTTCACTCCCTTTACTGTAATTCAACACTCAGATTTGTGTCTTTGCAGGCAAAAGATTCTGGATAAGACATCCTTTGCCTGTCTGCTTTATTTCTTTATTACTTGTATTTAATAACCTCTGGGGAGCTGCTGCTCTGCATCGCACTCTGAGCTCTGTTGACCTGGGGAGAGCTTAGGATTGCAGCAGTAATGAAATGTTGGTGTTGTACACACGCTGTAGCAGAGAGCTGGTTTTCCCTATGTGAGCCCAGCCCCAAGGCTAATCTTTAAAGCCATTTCCACGGTGACAGAACGTCACACCTCATTGCTGGTGTTGCAAGACCTCTCCTTTGAGTTCCTGTGCAGGTGAGAGCAGTGAAACTATTGCTGATGGACTGTTCCCCAAACTCTCTCCCCTCCCCTCTCCCCGCCATGCTTATCTCTCTCCTTTTGAAATGAGGACAAGTTTGTTCTGTTTAGAATTCACCAGAATGTGAAGGTGATGGTTTATTAGCTATTTTTGCTTTTAATACTGTTGCTGTACCAATTCCACGCCTTGTACTGTCAGAATTTAAAATGTAGGTGAAGTCAGAATAAGTTTCCAGATTGCTGAAAACATCCTTAATGTAAGGTGACCATACTTCACCTTTTCTGTACAATTCTGTCACTTGTGCTGGTCTTAAATGACATGGAGTGTGTCTGAAAAATCACTTGAATGATGCCTGACTGATATTCAGTAGACTGAATATTTGCAGAGGGTACATGACTGAATATTTAAGACAGTAAAAGTAACATTTAAGTGTTTTTGCCATCTTTTTATTTGCATGTAAAGTACTGCTAATAGATTTTGCCTTCTGTTGTAGAAACTTACAGGGAATTCATGATGGTCTAATTAATTTCAAGATGGTCTTGTTCATGTTTGTCAAAATCTTTGTCTAGATAGAAAGACATGATGATAGAATGACTAATTCGTGCTTTGCCAGGTATGAGTAAGGATTGATACTGAAAAAAGGAGAAGAAGCTTATATTGTCTTATTCCCTCAGAAAAAGTTGCTAAGAGTGTCAAATTTAATTCTGTGCAGTTTAAAAAGCTCCTGCATAGAATCAATTGTTGTAAGGGTAAGTAATACATCTTTTTACATTAAATCAAAATCACGCTGTGTGACTATGAATAGTCACACTGTTTCATATCTGACTAATAAACACAAACTTTTGTTAGGTTTGCTGTTTGCTCTCTGCTCTCTGTAATTTTCTTCTATGTCAAAGTCTGACACTCTAAGAGAAATTTTATTTGATTTGAAATTTGCTTGGTCTTAAATAACAGTTCTTGCACCACATCCAAATGCTTTTTTTCATCCACTTCCATAGCAGACTAAATTACCTTTCTCAGGGACTGTCTACTTCTAGTTTCCACTCCTTGTCCTGGCATCAGGAGAAAATAGGGACAAACCAAGGTGACACCAGATTTCAGCTCAGGGAAAAGACAATACCTTATCTCTCAGCAACACTCTGCTTGCTTTTCACATATAACTCACTTTCCAGAGCTGAAGGATGATTTATGTTGAGCAAATTTCTGGAAGAGGGTTTTAAGGCAGAAGATCACTTGATTTAGGTGTGCCTTGACATGTTTAATATTTGAAGTGAATGGGAGTGGATGGTGACCAGAGGAAGAGCAGGCTGGGGAGATGTGGAGAAAAGTCTCAGGCTTGTTGACAGCCATGTAGGAAGAGGTGTGGCAGGTTTTAGATCTGTCTGCTTTTTTGGTAGGACAAAACACATGCCTTTATGTATTCCTGACAAGCCTGTCTTGTGCTTCTTGTTTAATAAAAACTTTTTGAAGAAGCGACTCATTAAAAACAACTTCACTAAAGAACCTTTACACGTTCTATAGAGCATTTTTGATTTGTTTACTTTTTTAATAATTCTGCTCCATGGTCTGAATTCAGCAAAAATGCTCTGTTCTGCAGGTATGTTGGTCAGACATAGGAGGACTAGAAGACGTCAAGCTGAAGTTGAAGCAGGCAGTGGAATGGCCTCTCAAACATCCAGAGTCCTTCATCCGAATGGGGATCCAAGCTCCCAAGGGTGTCCTGCTTTATGGACCTCCTGGGTGCTCAAAAACCATGATAGCAAAAGCTTTGGCTCATGAAAGTGGCCTCAACTTCTTGGCAGTGAAGGTAGGCCACTCACACTCACATTTTCTTAACTTCTGCATAACAACTGATGGTTTTACCAACTTCCAGTGTTAAAATCTAGTGGCTTGTAGTGTTTGATCCTTATAGATGCTTCAGCAAACGCCTTGTAAATATCAAGTAAATTTGTGTTTTCTTGTATGCTGTTAAAAGAATTGTTATTTATTTTGTCAGCACAGATGTTGGATGGATGGGTAAGCTGTGGAGTGAGGTCTTAAATATTGGCATTGCTTAAGGTCTTTCTAAAAGTGGCAACAACATTTTTACTGCAAATAAAGCAGTAAATGAAAAGTGACTCTGGATAGTGGGACGCTGCTGTTATTGTAATAATTACTTGCGTGCATGAAAATATCATCTAATCTCTTACATTCCTTTTCATTCCTCAGGAAGGTCACCCTCTTTATCGCACTGTTTGTGTTTCATTACAGATTTTTCTTGTCCTATTTGCCTTTTTTTCCTGGGGAAATAGTTCTACTTCATCAGTTTTAAAAAAGCTTGAAAAATCAGTTATATCTTGAATACTCTTGTATAAATGGGATAGTCTCTCAGCATTAAGAAACACTTAGTATAGAAAAATTTTGGATTTTGTTGCCTATGAATCAGCGTAATTGATCACTGTGGGTTGTATGGAAAACACATGAATGAAAGTTATTTAATAATAATACTGACCTTCACTGCATAGGAAAGAAAAAAAAAAAGATAGCAGAGTAATTCCACATGGTGTAGTCCTGCAGCTGTGTCAGAATGTTAATGAAGTGCAAGAAAAAACATTTGTTTAAGTATTTTGAAAGTATCTCCTCCTCAGCAGTAAGATCACGTTCCCTTCTCTGTTGACCATCTCTTTACTCACAAAGCCTCCTGTGTTAGTTTCCACACAGTTTCCTCCTCCTCCCATCCTTTCAGGCACGCTGTAGATGCTCTCTGGGAGCAGAGGCAGTTGTGTTGACCCTGAAGCCAGCAGCCCTTCACTGCCTGGGCTCCTTGGGATTACAGGCAGCCCTCTGGGTCACAGTCACATCAACAAGGGCAGCCTTGGAAACCTCAGCCCTTAAGAAACACTACCTTTACTGCCTCTTCCATAAAGACAAAGTAGTTCTTTGTACTCCAGAGTTACTGGTAAACAAGGTAACCTTTTCCTCCGCCTCTGCTTGTAAGAAAACATTCCTCTTTGTCTCGCCCTAAGCACTGGTGCCTGGGAGGGTGGGGAAAAAAGGTAGCAGTCTGGGGGGAAAAAAACCAAAAAAACAACCAGTTGAAAATGGGTGTTGTTGCTATCTTGTATCCCTCAATCAGACAGTTTTACTGATGGAGTTAATTGTCAAGGGTGGCTCATGCTAACCAGGAGGTATCCAAAGGTGCAGTGATGGGAAATGCTGGTGTACAGTACTGTAGAGTTTTTCCATGGTGGAATTCTGCACGTGCAACATTCCCCATCATTGACAAGCTGCAGAAGTGTCTGGCTCTAGGAAATTGCCTGTGATTCCCACTTGGTTTAAATCCCCTGGCCTGGAACTGGTCAAATATTCAATGTACAGATGTTTCAAGAAGCACATCTCTGGAGCATGTCCAACCTTGGACATGTTGACTCCAGGAAGGGAACATAGCCCACTTACTCTAACTTTACATTTATTTCCTGGACAGAAAAAGGCAACATCCATCATGTACTAAATGTGTTAAACATTGTCTGTAAAACTTTTTCAAGCACAACAGGCATTAATTAATTTCCACTGCAAGTGTTCCTGCAATAAATCCAAAGTAGATGACTATGTAGGGTTTTGGTTTGTTTTGTTGGGGTGTTTTTGAGAGGGGAATTTTCTTTACTTGCTTAGAGCCCTATTAATTTTCCCCTTCTCTGTGTTATGTCTTGGATATCCATCCCTGGAACTGGCATCAGGCATTTTGAAAGGAAAGTGCAATTCTCGATGATTTCCTTTTCAGACTTGCATTTTCCTTCCAGTCTCTCTCAAGTAAGTAATTCTGATGAAAAGTGTCTGCTGTACAGCTTGTAGGATACTCTTTTGGGATAGGGCAGAGGTTCTTGGCCCTTCTGGAGCTGGGACTGCAGGCAGGAGGCACAGCTCTAGCTGTGGAAGCCTGCTGCTGGATGCTGCCTCTCCCTTTGTGAAAACCTGAGAGGAAATTGATTCTGTTACATGCAGTGCTTGCTCGGTTCGGTGATTTTTGGAAGGCTGCACCTATTGCATCTGCACACTGTGTGTAAGAGCCACGGGCACAGTATGTCCCAGCTGCCATCAGTGCTGGATGTACTGTCTTTGTCTGAGCTGGCTGTCCTGCTTTGTTGCAGCAGGTATGGCTCCCGCCCCAGCCTGCTTCCAGGAAGGCTTTGTTTGCCAGATGTGTCTGTGCAGTTTGGACAGCTGACTGTTCAGTGAGACGTTTCAGCTGGGTTATGAGCAAACTGTTTGAATTTGACCTTCCCATCTGTTTTGGGCATGGGGAGCTGTCACAAGGCAGCCTCTGGCCCACGTCTGACTGGCCTCTCGTGAGGTTTGGGAGATGGGCTGAGTCTCCATGTCATTTCTGGGCAGAGGAGCTGAAGAAAATAACGTGATAACAGATGTTTGACGTTGCATCCTGTTCTCTTCTGAAATCTATTGTGAGGTTTGAATGGTTAGTGTTACAATGAATGTTGCCCTTTTGTAAACATGCTCTTTGATACTTGGCCAAAAACTTTTTATAGCTGTATTTGCACCAAGATTGGTGACCTTTTGCTTTTCCAGAGCAAAGCAGCTTGTTGGTTGGTTTGTTTTACAAAGCCATCTTGCATATAATTCCTAGGGGGAATAGTTTATTTTTGTTCCTTCTCTTGACTTTCTTTGTCTCTAATACAATGTATTTGCTAAATTTACTGGGGAGGAGGTTGTCAACTACTTTCCAGGGGATGGCTCTTCCTGCTCTTTCCTGCCAACCCCTTTTTCTATATCTCTTGTAGCACTGAGGCTTTTCAGGGTTTTAGTGGTCATCTGGATCATTCCCCCCTCCAAACCTCTGTTATGGAAAAGGCAACTGAATTGTTCTCAGCTGCTTGGAGATTTTTCAATGTTTTGCACTCCTGGATACACAAGCGAGTGTAGGACTGCGTGAAGGAACGGATTAGGATAATTTTTTCATTCTGCAGGATTGAACATCAGTCTTGACTTATCAACAGCTTTTGATCTGACTGACTGTTTCAGTCAGCCTTCTCTGCACTTTTGTCTTTCACAATCCTCTTGTGCTTGCACCAAAGTTTGTAATTTTCTTCTGAAATGTGTTTTATGCATTTTTTGTGCTAGTAAGAAAAACTCGTTATATACAGGTATTGGACCTATCCATATGAATATGATGGGGATATAACTTTCAGCTTCTGCCAGGCTGATGACACCTTGCTGTTATATACAACCTGTCTCTCTGACATATTTGCTTTAGATGTCATCTAGCTTTCTGAAACTGAACACGAAGGAAATTAATGTCACTGTATTCCCTTTTTTGACTATTTATGTGGTAGGTATTTCTGTGGACTGTTTTGACAGTTCCTGCACTTAGGGTCAGCTTTGACTAGCTGGTTTTTTTTGAGCTATATTTTTCGTGAGACCACTAGAATTTTTGTGGTGATATTATAGTTTTGGAAGAAACTCTCCTATCTTACTGTATGGCATAGATAATTATCTCTGCATTTGTCTTGTATCTTAGTATATTTAGATGTGTTACGACTGCCCTCTTCAATTTTAAATTTCTTAGTTTATTTTATTTTTAGGAAATCCTGTGTCATTGTATTGTGCTAAGAATCAAATGAGTATTACTTTTCCTTACAGATTTTTCTGTTGCTTCTCTGGGAGGCAATTTGCAGAGAGTCCATGTGGAATTTTTTCCCCCCTCTTATTATTGTGCTATTTAGGTCATTAACTTTACTACCAAATAAAAAAAACTATTGAGCTTTTTTAGGCTTTAACCTATTTCAAAATGAACAGTGGAGTCTGCTCTTAAGATTTCAGGCTGGGAGGCACTATCAGGGTACCCATCCAGATAAACACTATCACCCAGCTGTAGTGGTCTGATCCATGGGGACTTGGAGTTTTGTTTTCTGTCCAACAAGCAGATTACCTGAGTTTATAAGATATATAGCAAGAAAAATTCTGTAACTTCTATATGCATGTGAAGGTTTAGAAACATAATTTTTCCTTTTGCTGCTTAGTGTTTTTTAACATTTGTCTGTTTAAAATCAAAAGTAAGGCAAAGCCTCAGTTAGGGGCAGTGACAAAAAAACAGCTTAAATTTTAAAAAGTTAAATGCCTTGCAGTTCAGCTAAGTGAGACACGATAATTTTTGTAAGCAGGATGAAGCAGTACTTGAAAAAAAACCCGCCATACAAAACAAAGAAAACCAAACTCACCTGTGACAGTAAGGAGTGTTTAAGGATGTCAGCACTGAGCAAACCACTGGTACAGATGATGTGAACTATACTGTTCTTAACTTTAATTTGAAACATTGGCTAGGAGATCCAACTACAGTGTGATTTTAAAAAAAAAAGAGAAAATATTCCTGACCTTTTATTTGCTGTTACTTAAGAGCTTGGGCTGAAGGAATCTTTTCTTTTTTCAATGAGCAGTAATTACAAAAATATACACTGTTCCCAGGGCTCTGACTTCACCTTGGCTTGGTTTAGCTTCCTGTATCACCCAGCCGATGCTTTTGTACCGCTCCCCGTGCTTGACATGTGCTTAAGCTTAGTTTGTCATCTGGGTCAATTATGTCAAAATATTTTCCAATTCAAGTTTCCTCTGCTTTTCCCTTCAGCTCTTGACTGTGGCAGCTCCAACAGATTAATGAGGCTTGGAAAGGTCGACTGCTTTGCTTTGTGTAGAACTGTCACTGAGTTTTGGGGAGATAGCTTAGCATTTTGATGGGGATTTCAGTGGGCAGAAGCCTGAAATAAGAAAGCTTGGTGACTGTAAGTAGTTTAAAAGCAAGGCATTTAAGATGAAAAA